TTCTCACTATATGTGAGAGCTTTGCCTTTCCTTGATGACGAGGCTTCTTCTTGACCCATCTTCCATGACATTTTAAATGCCACTATCTTACCAATGACTATGGCTGAGGTCATGGTGGTCAAATTCTCCATGTTGTGAAGGATGGTGATGATGCTTGCATATTTCTTTTATGGTAGCACGGAGATGATCTTTCTCATGATGTCCGCATCATCTAGCTTCATTAATCCTATTGAATGGAGCTCATTGATAATTAGATTCAAACAAGAATACATATCATGAACAAGCTCATCATCATTCATTTTAAAGGAATCATAATTTTATTTAGCTAGATAATATTTTTGCTCACGGACATTAGTTATGCTGTCATGGAGGTCTTGGAGTTTTAACCAAATTTCATGTACCGTATTTAAAATGAACACTTAATTAAACACATCCATGCTAAAAGATTCAAATAAGCAATTTTTAGCTCTAGCATTGAAATAAATTTGTTTTTCTTCACTCTTTGTGGGTTTATCAGGATTCTTAATGGGTTTCGTCCCGTCATGAGTGACTCTCCAAACACCTAAATCTACCGCCATAAGATGACAACCCATTCTAGCTTTATAGTAGGGGAAGTTAGTGCCACCAAAGTGCGGAGGCCTAGAGGTATCCATCCCAACCACTCTAAATAGCATCGGCTCAATGGCGGTGAAGTCAAAGGTCCAAATTGAGCCAACCGACTCTGATACCACTTATAAGGGACCGTGACGCCTAAGAGGGGGGTGGGGTGAATTCGACAACTTAAAAATCTACTCCAAAATAAGGCCTCTAATTTCACCTAGTCAAAACCTATGTAGGAAAGTAATCTATCTAAATGTGCAACTACGGTTTTGCTAGGTGTGTTGCTATCTCTACCGCAAAAGAGTGATGCAACCTAGGTTCTAATTCTATCAACTAGCCTATCAACTAATCTAGGGAAGTAAAGCACACAACCAAGGTAGCAATGTAAATGCGAAAGGTAAAGATGAGGTAGAGGTGCAAACTCTCATCGATGACTTTGGTAGTTTTATCGAGGTATCAAGAAGCGCTCAAGCTTCCCCCTAGTCCTCATTGGAGCCCCTCGCAAGGAATCCCCCACAAGGGCCAAGCTTCTGGTCGGGTAACTCAGTGGATAGCCCTGGGCCTTCTCCACGCACAAGCGGGTCTCCGGTGTGCCTTCCGGCAAGCCTCTTCCGGACCACTCCCCGCCGTCTTCACTATCAAGCTTTCGGCCAAACCGCCGCGGGCCTTGTTCCCTTCGGTACACGGTGGCGGCCACATCATAAACACGGTTGGTGCGATCTCGCAAGATTACAAGCCCCTTCGATGTACAATAATGGTGTGTGCAAGCATCGAGTGATAAGAGGTGTGCAAACCTCACTAAACACTAGGCCTAAACCTAGAGCAAGCGCATAAGCGGTGGTCTAATCAACCAAAGCACTTTATAAATCACCTACGCTAATCACTTAATGAATCACTAAGCACTATGCAAGTGGAGATCACTAAAATAGTGTATTAACACCCTTAATATATTTCCTTAGCTCTCTCACACTCAAATGGCCGGTTGGAGGCATATTTATAGCCCCACAAGTGAGAACTAGCCGTTGGACCCGAGACCCAACTTTTACTAGTGATCGGACGCTGATCACGTCCTGATCGGACGCGTTCGGTCCTGCCGACTGTTGGAGCGCGCGTGTTTGATTGGACTCTAGGTCGAGTCCGGTCTCACTCGATTGGACGCATTTGGTCACGCTAGCGTCGCTCTGAAACCTTTCTAGACATGATCGGACGCTACTTCTTGGTGCGTCCGGTCGTCCTGCCGTCACGTCTGGTTACGCTGAGAACATTGCCGTGATGATGAATAGTGTCACATGTGCGTCCGTTCATCGTGTATGTCACTGTGGTTGCACGGGCAATGATCGAACGCGTCCAGTGCCTTCGTGGCAGCGTCCGGTCGTCTCTGCCGAGCCCCTTCTTCATTCGTTTCTTCGTGATCTTGCGTCCGACTTGGTTACTATCTTCGTGCTTGGACTTTGCTTGATTTCTTGGGTCTTCTCTTGTGCTTCTAGGGTCTTGCTTATGGTGTTGATCGTCGAATCATCATATCACCTCTGTTCAAGTCATGTCTTGCACCCTATTGAACTACAAAACAATTACTTGTAAATTTATTATTTCAATTTGGTTGTGTTGGTCATCAAACACCAAAATCCAAAGTAAATGGACATAGGGTCCATTTTTCTTACACACCCGAGGGGGCAGTTTGCGCCACCCATGATGTCTCATCTATCTATATTTTTCTATATCTATATCTATATCTATATCTATATCTATATCTACGAATACACCTAAAAAATTCCTATGTCTATCGTCTGCGTCCGCCCCGCCTTGTCCTATACGGTAAAAAAGTTTCTATTATATGGCAAAAAAAGGTTCCGAAATATAAACATATACGACAAAAAAACCATCATAAAAAAACCGCCGTCCTCGTTTCCAAAAAAAAACATATACGGCAAAAAAACATGTTTCCTAAACAAACTCTTCCACATCAAAAATCATATACGGCAAAAAAATCGTTTTCGAAACAAACTCTTCCACAACAAAAATCTTTGTTGACACAGACGAAATAGATCACGCACATATTCAAACAGAGGAATTCGGCAAGGGCTTTGCTTACGACAACAAAAAAAGATCACGCACATATTCTTACACAAGGAATCTTTGCTGACACCGATGAAACAACGCACATATTCATACACAGAAAAATGAGAGGAATAAACTCTCTCGGTGCGAAAATAAATCAATCTCTTAAAAAAATCAAATAAAACAATTTTAATAATATATAAGAAGTTTATCTAAAGTAGACATGCAAATAACAATTCCCTCAAATTCACCTAAGATAGCTGTGGTGAATACAGGTGTTACAATATAAAATAGATTTAATCGATTTCAAGTGATCATGTCAAGATCACTATTCATCCTTCACTTGACGTGCGTTCGTGTTCTACCCAGTTCTAATACGAAGACCAAATCTATGTGTCCGCGTCCGATATGAAATCTTCAAAGCTCACGCGTTCGCGTCTTACACGATTCCAATACGAAAGACAAAATCTACGAGTCTGCATCCAATACAACATCTTCATAGCTTACACGTTCACGTCCAATTACTAAGGTTAACTCAAAAAAATTTGGCCCCGTACAACGCACGGGCATTTATCTAGTCTAAAAAATAATTTTCTAAGATCTAGTCTAAGTCAAATTATTATAAATTTAACTAAATTTATATAAAATAATATTAATAATATTAGTTCTAAATTCCTTGCAATAAATAATGATTTAAAATAGATACATTAAGAAAACATATTTTATAATAAATGTCATAGTACTTATTTGATATTATAAATATTATTATTTTTTCAAAAAAAATGGTATATCGAAGATGGTGTGACTTAGCATATACTTGCTCTGTCGCTTCTCGAGAAGTCAGATATATCTAACTTTGACTAAATATATAAAAGAAAATATTAATATTTATAGTACATAATTAGTACCATTAGATAGATAATTTAATTTATTTTTATAATAAATTTATTTAGAGATACAAATGTTGTTAATATTTTATAAAACTTAATCAAACATAGGCATTACAAAATATATGTTTAATACATATAACAAAAAAAAATACTTGTCTTCATGGTCGCTTTTTGTTCATTTTTTAAAGAAATACACATATATCTATAATCTCTATTTGTATATAATAATCTATTAACTACTCCCTTCATTTTAAATTATGAGTCATTTTTTTTATAGATACATAGTTTTTGCTATGTATCTAGGCATAACTTATATCTAGTACGTAGCAAAAGCTATGTACCTCGAAAAACTAGAACGACTTATAATTTAAAACAAAGAGGTACTACTGAGGAAACTATGTATGCACCTCGTATTAGAAAAAGTAGCTAAGAAAAAAAGAACCGAAGGACTTGCACGAGCGCCACAAGAAAAAAAATATACATGGGAGAAGATCGAGGACAACCCAAACAACAACTAAAAAGTCCACTAATATGAGTTCTAGACATCGCTAAGGAGTGTTGAGTCACATCTTTTATCATGAAGACCACCTCCTCCGGTTGCTCTGCCAAATTTTGAAAAGTTCTTATATTTCTCTTATTTGACAAATTCCACCAATGATCTATCACTAGCTCATCAGTCAAACTTCCTTTGGCTCTTGTCAAATTTAGCTCTCACCCACTGCCACCATGTATAAATCGAACCATTACAGCGATGTTGTTCAGAAGATCCAGGAGATTTCTCCGTTGGACCAATGTGTTCCAAACTTGTATTGCATATGGACAGCCCTTTTTTTTAGCTTCTAATCAAAAGCGAAAAGTTATATTATAACCCAAAAACGTATCTATCAACAGGGACACCTTTTCAAAAAATTAGCTTTTGAGGTAGGCCCAAAAGTTTTTTTTTTGAAAAACAAAAGGCCAAACAAAACAAGTCCTAATTTAAAATGTATAGTCCAGATTTTCCTTGGATTTATATAGCAAAAATCAAGTGTTATCAGTGACTACAGTATAAATTAATTTTATCTTGTGACAGATTAATAAAAGTGTAAACAAACGATCAGATGTTAGGTGATTTGAAAAGGCGGGAACTTTCTTACTTCATTTGGCCATCACCGTTGTCCATTGAGCACGAACCTTGGACCTTGGTACACATCTAGACACCATAAAAATAAAAAGGTGGGGAAAAAACCCTAGAAAGATGTACTCCTATAAAAGAATGTTTGGCTTCTCGCTCCTCCTGTACTTTGACTTCAATCCGCATTCCACGAATCCACGGGCTTTGCTATCCCAACGGCACCACCTCTGCGGTGCGCACTGAGCGAGAGCAACAGAAAGGAGGGAGGGAGGGGCGTGTAGTCGCGTAGAACATACAGTGACTGGTTGCTGCGATGTCATGTGCTCTGATCAACCAAGATGAAAGGTATGATGACCAGGGCACTCGTGGTCAAATGTCAATGGAAGTGGCCACGGTGGCCGGTGGCCGGTGGGGTGACGTCTCTGTTGGAGGCCAAACCGGAGCTCCCTGCCCCTGTGTATATGTCTCTCAGTGACCAGCTTGTGTTTTGCACGCGTCTACACATGTCATTGCGTCAATGGCTCAACGCCCTCGCCATGTTCGACGAAATGCATAACCTGGAATATGTGAAATATCACCAGAATTATCTGTCCACCAAGAACCAAGGTTGTATGACCTTTGAAGTTTTCTTTTGTGCGCAGCATCTAAGGATATGTCGTGCTTGTGCTTGTGCATCTAAGGATAGCTTGTGCCTAGCATCTAAGGATACATCGAAACACATGGTTTTTGCGATGGTGTGCAACATAGCTTGGGTCTTTAGCTTGCATAAGTTCAATTAATAGGTAAGCTTGTCCAATTACAGTTATTTTTGTTTGGGGTATAGTATTGAAGCTTAATACGCATGAGAATTGACATGACACAGCCTGCTACATTTCTATTTTTTCAAGGGTCGTCTGGTATTATCTCATTGGTCCATTTTGTTCTCTAGGATATTCATTTAGTTGTTTCATTCCATCATTTGTAGGTTACAAGACGACTAATTATGATTTGCCATCGGATATGGAGGAACAAGCCAGCCATATATTAAGGAGATGTCGTGGGCTTCCACTTGCCATATCTACCATCGGAGGTCTCCTAGCGAATAGGCCGAAAACAAGCATAGAGTGGAGGAACCTGCACGAACATCTTGGGGCAGAGTTGGAGTCTGACCTCCGCAATATCACCAAGGTGATCGTCTCAAGTTATGATGGCTTGCCGTATCACCTGAAATCCATCTTCTTGTACCTCAGTATCTTCCCTGAGAACCATGAGATCAGACGCACCCGCTTGCTCAGGCGGTGGATGGCAGAAGGCTACATAGCAAAGAACCGCTACATAGCAAAGAACCGTGACATAGCAAAGAAGCATGATTCAAGGTTCCAAGGCCATCTCTGGTGTTAGAGCTGATCGCTGCCGGGTTCACAGCATGGTGCTCAAGATCATCTTGTCCAAGTTCATCGAGGAGAACCAACTATTACTCATCGAGAAGCATTCCAATGAGATTCCACAAAGTAAGATACGCCACCTGGTGGTATCGAGATGGAAAGGGAGGGATGAGGAGCTGCAAAGAATTAACTTGTCATATGTCCGATCGTTGACAATCTTTGGGGATTACCCTGCATCTCTCGTCTCTCCAAAACTGCGGCTGTTGCGAGTGCTTGACCCGGAGGACACGATCAATCTGAAGAATGATGACCTCAAGCATATAGGGGAGCTACGACACCTGAGATATCTGTGCCTACGAGGAACGGATGTTTCTAAGCTTCCGTCTTCCTTGCAGAACCTTCGATATCTGGAGACATTAGACATTCAAGACACAACTCCCCAGGGGCATTGCCAAACTTGAGAAGCTCTGTTATCTTCTAGCTGGAGTCAACTTTTCAAAAGATTTGCTGCAAAAGATGGAATCAGGAAAGGACAAACATAAAGTCGGCCTTTTATCCTGTCTATGCTGCAACCAAGGTGAGTGCTGCAAGGTTTTCAATGCAAGTGTAAGAGCTCCCGAAGGAATCGAGAAGTTACAGAACCTGCACATGTTGGGGGTGGTCAATGTTGGCAATGGAAATGGTGTGGCAGGGAGGCTCAAGAAGCTGACGAACTTGACAAATTTGAGAAGGTTAGGGCCGGTCGAAGGGCTTACTGAGAAACAAGGGCACGATCTGTGTCAATCGATAGGTGAACTCAGGCGATTGCAACGGCTTGAAGTGCGCTCTGATTCACTTACATTTCTCACTCAAATGGGTGAACTGCAAGTACCAGCACATCTTGTTTCCCTGAGGCTGTGTGGGAATCTGAGTAGTCTACCTAATTGGATCGGTTCACTCAATGATCTAGCTAAGGTGAAGCTGCTGGGGACACAACTGAAGCACAAAGACATTGAGCGCCTTCAGAACCTGCGCAACCTGACTTTGCTAGGCCTATGAGAGAACTCCTACATAGGTGACTCCTTGCATTTCTGTACTGGTACATTTCCAAAGCTCAAGTTCCTTGACGTTGATGGCCTAGAGAAAATAGAGAAAGTGTCAATCGACAAAGGCGCCATGCCTGAGCTTAAGAAACTTTGGATTAACAAGTGCCCATCACTACAGGATAATAGTTCTGGCTTGTCTGGAGTGCCAGACCTGTGGAACCTGAATGAGCTTCTTCTTAAGAAATGTGGCGAGAAAGAGAACCTGACGAAGATACTGCAAAGGCAGATCAGTGATCACCATAAACGCCCCAGGTTCCTCATTGGCAAGTCAATTGTGCCTACTAGCCCATCCACACACTGACAGCTGAGCAATGTAGATGGCACCATGCCCAAATTATTTCATATATGTATGTATTTTTATTAGTTGTGTATGTTCTTGTTTATGTTCAAATGTAAATAGCTGCATTAATACAACATTGGCTTTCATTACATTGAATTTCGGAATCAGGTGTTGTGGATTAAGATGCTATTGTAATTCAGAATACCACGTGTTAGACACAATTATTGATCGAACTGGATAGATACAGATAGAGTTCACATGAAACAATGCATGGACAACAGCAATGAAGCTAACTATTACATACTTGGATTGCATAGGCAATTTTATCATCAACTATACTCAAAATGTAAAGAACTCTGTGTATTAGTGGGTATCCTCCAGCCACAATGAGGCTGCTGGCTCTAGTCTTCACTTATCAAGCGGCTTCCCTTTCTATCATAACTCAATAGCCCACAGATTCCTTCATAGCCTCCTTAATCCCTCTTCTTGCTGGCAAAGACTTTAGCCTACACACCTTTGTGTCATTCTTCTCCATCGAGACCGATGGCTTGCAGAGACCATGTCTTGGAATCAGCATAAACTTAACAATGCCAGGGGTAGCATTCTGCCAGCAATAGCAGCAATCAAGCCACATAAAAATGGCCTATAACAGCAATGCAATGAAGATGTTGAGTTGTTACTGACAAAGAAATCAGTTAGAAGGGAAAGGACTTGAACGTGTAATTCTCTGTATCTTATTTTTTTTGAGAACACGTGCGTTGACCTGTGTTTCATTAAGAGGATTATTAAAACGTTTCAATACACAACAAGGTCCCAAGTGCACGTACGCATGTAATTCTCTGTATCGTTCAGCGAGTTTCTTATCTTTATGTAACGCACGTACGCACATAGATGGTCCTAAGAATTTTTGCGTTATTTTCTTCGAAGTTCACTAATGAGTAGTCGTACCGACCAGCACTCGGCTGAACTTTTCTCAATCCTTGCATAAAAAACTTGCAAGTAGTCTTTCTGGACAACGCGGTTACACGAAACGTGCATCCCCTTGCTTGCCAATTCATCAAAGTAATATAGGCAAAGCAATCTCATGAGCACTCATAGTTCATTGGTTAAGGACTAGACGTGGCAGAACCGTTCGAAATAGCACGTTTTCGGAGGTGCTCGTCATCCACTAGACACTAAGCATCCCGAAAGCAAGCTATATCGGACGGTTCCGTCGAGCACATCCCAAGGGAAAACTCGAACAATCCACGTTTTTCATCCAGGATCCAATAATGAGAACGAGATTACATTACTTAGTCCATTTCATACGACAAGAGTTCTAAAAAATACATTATTACAATACCAAATTTAGAGTGCGGAATTTAAACAGCAGAATTAAAATAAACATCTAACGATAAGATACAAGGATCCGTCTGTGCCCACTAGAAAAATCCTCCACACAACAGCTACTTCTCAAGCTGCACCTGCAACAGGGGTAAATAAACCCTGAGTACGCAATGTACTCGCAACACTTACCCGACTAGTGGGAATAGTTTTCCGACTCCAAAGGATATGATAAGCTTTATGGTTTGTTGGGTTTTCTTTTTACGAAAAGCATTACTAGTAGTGAATCCTTATGTATGTATTTTATTAGCAGTCATGATTAGTTCATTAGCTAACATTCTATGTAAGCACCTGTTCTACTTTCAAGCAAGAGTTGAGCAAACAGATCCATTCATCCTCTTTTCATCTATCAGTTCTTACTACGGTGCTAGATCATATACAAGTCGTACCGTATCACACGGTGATTCGCGAACCAATGTATCCCAGCTGGGTACCTCAAAACACACGCCCTGTCTATACCCCAAGCATAAGCAGGACCAACCCACCACTCTTCTGTCAAGGGGTCTAAGTCCCCATCCATCCTTAGACTCCAAGCCACCACACCTGAGTCCCGAACTCAGTGTGGTGCTTAGACCTCCACCATCACCGCCTCCAATCAGTCGGTCTGGAAAGAGCCAGAACCCAAGATAAGAGAGCAACAAGCCTTCCTGCTCCCATAAGCAAGAATATGCTCAGGCTAATAAGTCTGTGACCTGACTAGAATCCAATGTAACGGCCGGTCCTTAACCGATACGGACAGGGAAAACAGTGTAACCAAGCTATGCCCCGTTGGCCATGGGACACAACCTATTATACCCACCAATACCCGTACCATATCCCTGCCCGGTCTTCATTTCCTTTCACCATTTTATCATGAGAATAATAATAATAATCTCCTATTGTGAGTAATGACAGGTTACACTACCGAAAAACCTAAGTATAGCAGCTACTCGACCTAAGCTAGTAGGACTCATTGGTAGGTATATCTATGCATGTAGTTTCAACAATAAGGTATATATATATATATATATATATATATATATATATATATAGAGATTATTCAAAATAAGGGTTATGGACCGGGGCTTGCCTTGGGCAGGCGGGGTGTCAGCTCAGTCAGTCAATGATAGCTCCGGGACCTCCTCCTGCACGAGGATCTCCTCGTACTCCTCGATCACCTCCTCGAACTCATGATCTCCGATGGTCACGATCTCCGCCAACTCATTCTCTACATGCATGCGATGATGATGCAACACGTTAATATTAAGGCAACAATAATTCTTAAAATAAGAATACATCTACTAAGCCACTAAGCTAGCTCTAATGGTTAAGATACTAACTACTTATCATTTCTGCAAAAACAGGTATGGATTCATCTAACGGATATTAACTTAGCAACTAAAATATAATCTTCCTCTTATTAGCGATTTAACTTATATTACAATAAGGAGCACCTAACTACGCTAGTACTTAGCCTATTCTAAGGCTACAAAAATTACAGCGAGCACATAATAATGTAATGAAGCTACTATAAAAATTTCAGGGTTTTTACTATCACCAATCTGCCACAAAAATTCCTACAATAATTAAATTAAAAATATTGAGCATTCTCAAATGACTTAATAGCTCCTGGTATCAACATGTATATATATGAACTAAATACACTAATAGATAGAGCACAATTTTAGAAACTTAACAAACTTGGTTTCATAATTTTTGGATACCTACATGATTTTATATGATTTACCAAAGATCAGCTTCAAAAATTATGTTAGAAAACTATTTATAATTCCTTATGAAAAAGAAAAACGTATTCTCTCGCGCGGCCCACGCACGCGAGGCGGCCCGCGGCGAGGAAGCCTGTGCGCGCAATCACTCTTGCAAAAACGTCCTCGCGTTATCAAACAATAGTGCGAACACTACACATACTATTTCTATATACAGCAACTTTGTAATGGAAACATCAGATCTTTTCACCTTCGCACCGGACAGGTCCCCGAGACGACTCGCGCTCGCCGGCGCGGCGGGCGGTGGCACTAGGCAGTACGCCGGCCACCCGAGACCCTTGTAGACCTAGCTAGGGGACCGATGCTCACCTATGGGCCGACGCGCGATGATGGGTGGTGGTTGCACGAACGAGGGTGAAGCAGAGCGGGCTCTCCCCGGCGGCGGGCGACCTATAACGGCGGCAACCGCGTTCCGGTGAGCCACAACGCTAATAGCGATGGTAGGGATAGGGAATAAGCACCAGGGGCACATCATGAACCCGGCCGAAGTGGTGGTTCGGCCAGCGACTACCTGAGCAGTGCTGGCCACGTGCGCGTGATGAGCATAGTGACAAGCCACGGCAGACACGGCTGCGTCAGCGGCAACGGGGAGGCGGCAGCGCTCCCATAGGTGTGCGCACGGTGGAGAGGGAGCCAAGGTGAGCTAGTGGTGCAGAGGAATTTGCACGGGGTGAAGTGGTGGAGGCTGGCCACCGTGCAGGCGGTGATGGGCCTTAACGGCACGGTGGCGGGCAAAGCTCCAAAATTGGAGCTCGGCTGAGCCGCAATCAAAGCGGGGTGGGGGTGGCTGGAGAGGGGGCGTGGAGGCAGAGATGCGAGCGCGAGGAATTGATGAGAGGTGCTCGCTCTCTGACTCGCCGTGACGCGACTCGACGGCGGCGGAAAACAGAGAGAGAGAGAAGAGAGAAAGAGAGACACGACATGACAGGTGGGCTCGGCTCGTCCTCGCCTTGGCGGGATGTGAGCGGCGAGACCGGGAGGCCCACGCACCGGCACTAGCCGTCGGGCGTGCGCGCGTCCGACCGGCGTGGCCCACGCGGCCGCATTGTCACAAATGACATAGAGACGACGGCATGCACGGCCACGTGCGGACGGCACCCAACCGGGCCAGGGAGGAGGCAACTTGATGCAGCAAGCAGACGCGCATACGGGAGCAACACGACGGCAGCGTCACGACGTGAGGCAGCAGTGGCGGATGCGACGGCAGCGCAGCGCGGGACATGGTAGGCGGCAGCAGCAGCGGCTCCGCATGGCGGGGCGTGCACATGCATGCGCACGTGTGACCAACGCGGCGACGCAGAGCGCCCGAGCGCGGTGATCGCGGCCACGTGGCCTACCAGCCCAAAACCGGTAACGCGTACGAATTTTAAAGCGCTCAACACGACCAAAGGGCTGCTCCTAAACCTAAACCGTCTTAACCATGATCAAGATGGCACATGAGACTACCAACTCGAGCTATAACACTACACCACCCTTTAACCTAATCTCTCACCATAAATTGCTAAACATAGCAATGTCTAGCTG